AAATCGTTTCAGATTTCTATATAACTCCCACATGTACATATATAATCGTCCGATTTTACATAAATGATGCGAAATTAACTTTTTAACAGTGCGGCGTACCGAATAGCGTGTATCAATTTTGCTATAAATCGTTTTCCATAAATTTGTCCCATGGTACGCATACGATTCTAAATCTGCCCGAATGAAATGAAATTTACCACAGATTGCAGAAAGACATGAGTACGTTCCTTCGAACAAACATTTACATTGCATGTGTAAGGATACAATAATGATCTATGGCCTAACGTTGATTTTTATACCCTACACAACTATGTTGTGGTGGTTGACCTTTAAATTGATACCAATTATATTGTCGTATGTACTCGGATGTGGGAGTACCACACTAGAGGGCGGAAATATAGCCCTGATCGCTTTCAAATTTTCCATGAGGTTCCAGTTATGGTCAAGGAGAACGAATATTATTTTGCGGTGATGATCAGATAGTAATTTTGGGATGAAATGGACAAAAAACTTAAATTTTTGTGTTTTGTGATCTATAGGCCACAATTATATGTCGAACATCAAAATAGAATACACGGCGAAGGGAATCTGGAAAAGTAATTAGAAGCGTCAGTGTAAGGAATAGGTGTTGTTGACCACTAATCGGGAAAGAGAGTGCAAATATCACGAAATTTTGCCCAGGCTCGGAAAAAACATCCGTAGAAAGTTGGACGTCCGTGGTAGTTGTGTAGGGTATCGAATGTCGGCCTTGTCCGACTATACTGCGCCGCTCACTTTAAAACATTAAAACATATTTTTCTTAGGTCTTTGACTGTGACACGGAATTTTTTGGGTTTTGATTATACCCTACACAACTATGTTGTCAGGGTATTATAGCTTTGTGCAGCCCCAAAAGTTTGTAACGCCGCGAAATATTGGTCCTAGACCCATCTTTAAGCATACCGATCGTCATATCTCGACTAGCTGAGCCGATCTAGACATGTGTGTCCGTCCGTCCGTCTGTCCATTACAATTTGTAAACACGATACAGGCCACAGTTATGGATCTTTGGGAAAGATCGGTTAATATTTAGGGGATGAAATGGACCAAATACTAAATTTTTGTCAGTTTTTGTGGTTGCTCTAGAGGCCGCAATTGTGGCCCAAACATTTTGAATTTTTACATGGAGAAGGGGGTCAGGCCAAAGAATAAGCATGCCTGTTTTGATAAATATCGGTCAATATTTAGCGGGTCAAATGGACCCTGACTTTTGTGTGAAAAATTACAAAATTTTTATTCTGGGGCGTATATAATTGCTCCTGAAAGACATATACTCGAGATGTTGATAGTATGTCCAAGATGAGTTGTTGACCTTCAAATTGATACCAATTATATGGCTGTATGTACTCCGATGCGGGAGTTATACTTAATTAAATAATGGTGACTATGTGCATATTATTACTATTACTCCATTAGAGGACGGAAATGTCGCGCTAATCGCTTTGAAATTGTACATAAAGTTCAGATTATGGTAAAGGACGACGACTATAGTTTTCGATGAAGTTGAGATTTCATTCAGGGGGTGCAATGAACCGGAAACTTTAATTTTGTCAGATTTTCTAGTCGCTCTAGAGGTAATTATTATATGCAGAACATCACATATTTTACAAGGTGAAGGGGATCTAACCAAATACTTAGAGGGGCTTTTTAGATCGGTCAATTTTCCGAGGGTCAAATCAACCAAAACCTAAAGTGACCAATTTTTTATTTTATGGCGTAAAAATTCACTTCAAGAAAAAACATTTTGGAAAATATGCTGGACTTAGAAAGATGAGTTGTTGATCAATAATCGTTAAAAAGGGTGCAAGTATCACGAAATATTGCCCAGGTTCAGCATATAGAACCGCCGAAAGTTTGCTTTTCGTGGTAGTTGTGTAGGGTATCATATGGTCGGCCCCGTCCGACTATACTGCTCCGCTCACTGGTTTTTTTTATTAATTCGTTTTTGAAGGCTAGGATTTTTTTAAATATTTTTAAGCTCGGAATTTCATTACATACCTCTTCTTTGGTTTGTATGAAAAACGTATAGCCACGTGTAGAATTAAAATATTGCGAATTCGATAATCCGACCAAATAAATGCTTAAGAAATAAAACAATGCTTTCATCTTGAAAACACCACCGGAACTGTTTGAGATATTCAATTTGTATTTTTTCTTTATTTCAAAGAATTGCAAATTGTTTTCCATAAATTTAAAGAAAAAAATCCCCCATAAAATTTTTGCTGATAAAACCGAAAAATTATCGCCCATAAAAAGTATAAACTTTCGCTGTATCAAAGCCATTGTCCATAGTTGAGATTTATTTGTCGCAATGAAAACAACAACATCCTCTTTAGTCCTAATCTTGGTCACAGTAACCCTCCTAATGGGGCGTAATGCCTCGGCCGGTAAATACTATACAACAGCAAAGGGTATTAAATACTACATTGAACATTTGTATCAAGTAAGTAATTGCCTCGATTAATTAAATATTTAAAATTGGTTTTTCAAAATTTTCAAAAAATTAGTACAACTGGTTCGAGGCCTACTTCGAATGTGTATATCGTAATATGAGCCTCTACACCTATGGCAGCCAGGCGGAATTTAATGATTTATATGATCTTTTGACAAACGGCACATTGTGAGTACAAATCGAAATCGGAAGAAAACAGAATTTCTATTTTCCATCAAAATTTATTTTTCGCAGCACCGACAAACCTCCGAATGTCTGGATAGGTGCCGTTGGTGTCAAGGGAAAATTTATATGGACGAAAACCCAAAAGCCCATGACAGCCCTGCATTTGTGGTCCGCAAATAATCCCGATAATTCCAATGATGAAGAAAATTGTCTACAAATTTGGCTGGCGAAAAAATATTTAAATGATTTGCATTGTTCGAGGAAAATTGGTTTCATTTGTCAATTGGACAATGAGAACGAGGATGGCGGACAACATTCAAAGGATAATGCCTCCAGTGGAAAATATAAAGGTTTAACAATTAATTTGTTTCAACAGAATGTGCACTAATGGATTTAAATAAATAAAATAAATTCATTAAAAATTAATAATAAAACCAGTAAGGAAAGTAGTAAAGTCGGACTGGGCCGACTATATGCTACCCTTCACCACTTTGGGTATATTCTACATATGTATCCTAACAGACGACGCGGTTTTGTTATATATCTATATCTGAAACGATTTCGGGGAAATTCGACAGGCACACATCATTCTGCACCTAATTCAGTACTCTATGCCAAATTTCATGCAAATCGAAAGGTATATAGGGACTTTGGTGCACCATTTACATAAAATCGGACAAAACTATATTTGGGAGCTATATCTACATCTGAACCGATTTTCTAGAAACTTGGCACACATCATTCTGCACCTAATTCAGTACTCTATGCCAAATTTCATGCAAATCAAATGATATATGGGGACTTTGGTGCACCATTTACCCATTCTAGACTCAATTTAGTACGCTGTGCCAAATTTCGTTCAAATCTAAGGACTGCACCATTTATCTAAAATCGGACGAAAATATATATGGGATATGGAAGCAATATCTATATGGAAGCTATATCTAAATTTGAACAGATTTTGAAGAAATTTAGCACACACCGTTCTACGGTTAATTCAGTACGCTATGCCAAATTTCGTGCAAATCGAAATATATATAGGTACTTTGGTGCTCCATTTACCTCAAATCGGACGAAAATATATATGGGAGCTATATCCAAATCTGAACAGATTTTTTCCCAATTTCAATAGGGTTTGTCCTTGGGCAAAACACCAGAGCTGTCTATCTCGTTTCCTTTTGCCTGCTACAAACATATGCACAAAGACATAATACCCTGCACCACAGTGTGGTGAAGGGTATAAAAATCCATTCCTGATTGTAACTTCAAAAAATAATTTTTAAAAAATCCACGCATGATTGTTACCTTCAAAAACATTTTTTTGTAAAATCTTCACCTTTTGGCTCCTTCACATAGTCTTTATTTATTATTTAAAGCGAATATTACAACCCCTGATTAAAATTAAACACCAATCCTCGATACTTGGCAGAATCTGCTGTCGGCTTTTGTTCATCCTCCTTCCTTCGTGGTTCACAAACATATCCCATTTTTTCCAAACATTTGATGTCATTCAATTTGTTTGTGTTCTCATAGATTTGAATGCAATTTTCCACATTGCCAGAAGTGTCGGGATTACCAGTACCCCAGAACCGTGAGACAACTGGTTGTCCAGTTGAAACCCAAATAAATTTTCGATTCGAACCCACACCTCCCGTCCAAAGATGAGGCGGTCTTTTAGCACTACACAAAAAATGAAAACTATTTTCAGAGTTCCAACTCAGCTTCGAAATTTTCCAATACTCACAAATTATTTTTTATTGAAATTTCATAAATATTCAATAGCTCAGCATCTGTTTCCAAGGTAAGCAATGACATATTGCGATTTTGGCATTCCATAAGGGCTTCAAACCATGTGTACTGCAAGATTTGTAATTTATAAAAATTTTCTACAAATTTCTTTATTAAAAATGAAACTCGAACAAACGAAACTTAACTGTATAATCCTGATTAATGAAATATTTGGCATTGTTTGAAGATTGATAAAATTTAGCCTGTAATCCCAAAACTAGGAATTGGCTACCCCAAACACTAAAGAGTAATACGAAGATGGACAACGTTTTCATGTTGAATGCTTGTTTAGAACTATTTCATGATAGTTACACGACACATATTATTTTTAAATATTTATTCTGCAATGTACAACCATGGCACACACGGGGGCTTATCATCCTTGTGGATTTTTTATATGTACATATTGAAATATATACGTTTATACATAGTAAAATTAAAAGCAATATTTTCTTATCATAATTTAAAAAAATCCCTGCGGTACTTCACATTTAATTATTATCGAAATTTATGTTTTATTTTTCGTCACCACTTATTTCCATTTTTAATATAAATTATGGTGTCCGAAAGTTTCATAAAGTCATTCTTTAAAATGAAATTCAGTGTAATTCTAATTTGTTTGATAATTCCATTGGTGTCCGGTGCGGTTATAAAGAAATGGCATAAAAGTGATGACGGCAGTTTGTATTTTGTGGAGAATGAACAAAAGGTAATATATACACATATTTATATATAATGTATTATAAAAAATATTTTTTTTAGTTTAATTGGTTTGAGGCCTTACACGAATGTGCCCGCAAAAATATGTCATTGATTGCCATTGATCGTTATGACAGGCACTATCAAATCGATACACTTATACGAAATTTATTTCGTAAGTATTTTTTGAGATATTAAATTAATTTGAAAGAAATTTTAAAAATTTCCAAAAAAATGTAAAAACAACAATTTTTGCAAACACTTCATTTACCAATTCCCTTTACACAGTAAGACCAAAATGTGAAAATTCAGCATTTCCAGAATTGGGACATTTTGATATAAACATAATGCCCATAAAGAAGAGCCTCTAAATGGAACAACGTCAAACAAACATTCTTTGCAAACACTCCATCTACCAACCCCATTAAGCCCCTTTACACCGACAGTAAGACCAATTCCAATTAAAACCAGTGAGCGGAGCAGTACAGTCGGATGGGGCGGACTATACGATACCCTACACAACTACCACGGGACTTTAACTTTCTGCGGATTGTTATTCCGAGCCTGGGCAATATTTCGTAATATTTCCACCCTCTTGCCCGATTAGAGATCAACCGATCTTCCTTACACTGCCATATTTTTCGAATAGTTCTAATATTCGGTACATGTCCATATTCCATTCCCCGTGGGTTGTGTTGTGATGTTCGTCTTATAATTGTGGCCTATATATCGACTCGAAAACAACACAAAAAAAATTAAGTTTTCTGTCCACTTTATCCCAAAAGGATTATCTGATCATCACCGAAAATTGTAGGCGTTGGCCTTGACCATAACTGGAACCTCATGGAACATTTCAAAGCGATCAGCGCTATATTTCCGCCCTCTAGGGTGGTAATGGGTTACTAAATGATATCTGAATACGTAAGCACCTGTAAATATTTAAGTGCAACTCAATCAAACCAATCATCTTGGATATACTGTCAACTTCTCGGGTCTATGCCCTTCAGGAGAAAATATATACGCCATAGAATACAAATTTTGTCATTTTTCACACAAAAGTCAGGGTCAATTTGACCCGCTAAATATTGCAAAAGCTATAATAACCTTACAACATAGTTGTGTAGGTTATAAACACAATGCCGTAAAAAGTAAAAAAAGGAATAAATTTAAACAAAAACTCTTCGCAGAATCCTCCATTTACCAACTCCTTTAAACCAGGGCTGTCCACACTAATACATTATTCAAAAGTTATGATTCTATGCCATATACTGTGAGAGATATTGTAAAAAGTTTATTTTCAAATTTTAAGGAAGAAAACAATTGTATATTCCATGTAAATATGGTTGTTGATGATACATTTTCCTATTTAAGTATTGGTTTAGATTAGGCGAGTTTACTTGCGGCAAGTCTTTGTTTGTAGGAGAGAGGGGCAAGGGGAATAGAAATGTAAAAAAATTGCTCGTACCGACAATTTTCTGGCAATCCGTTTTGTGTATTTCGTATTTGTTGACGTTTTATATGTATTTAAATGTGAAAAAAAACAACAAATAGAAACATAGTCCTGATTTATATTAGGCGAGTTTACTTGGGGCAATTTTTATCGTTCTCTTTTTAACTTGCTCCATGCGTCTATACAAGGCAATTCGGTTTCCAAAATATTTTTTTGTTTGTTGTTTTTTCACATTTAAATATATATAAAATGTCAACAAATATGAAATACACAAAACGAATTGCCAGAAAATTGTCGGTACGAAGAATTTTTTTTCATTTCAATACCCCATGCCCCTCTCTCCTACAAACAAAGACTTGCCGCAAGTAAACTCGCCTAATCTAAATCAAGACATATTTTGGAAACCGAATTGCCTTGTATAGACGCATGAAGCAAGTTTAAAAGAGAACGACAAGAATTGCCGCAAGTAAACTCGCCTAATCTAAATCAAGACTAAAGATATATTTGTTTCTGTTTGCCCTCCAGCCATAGTATTGGTCACATATTTCGACTTGTTCCGAACTAATGTTTGCCAAAAATATGCCCATTTTTTCGGTTAGTGTATGAAAACAAAAAGGAATAAATGACAATTTTGAAAATATTTTTTTTTATTTTCAAATCCCAGTAGTTCGAGTAACTGGTGATGAACTAGATATTTTACTAATTACCTGTAAGTATCTCTAGTTACCACGTCATGCCCTAGACTGGTAAATTTAACATGGGTATGTCATTGGGGAAGTCAATTGTCCCCTGTCTGCGTTACCAATATACAGTCATTTCGATAGTCTATTCATTGCCCTTTGCATTACCAGTAACTACTAAATTGGTATGATGTGCGTAGACAACTTTTTCAGTTGACAAAAAAAATCCAATCGTATATTTTGTGTTCCTTTTTGGGATATGAAGTAACTAGATCACAAAGTAACTAGCTATATAATATTCAACATTTGTGGAGTAGTTAACTTAATTAAGTAATTAACTTACTAATTTTACATTTTATTTAATTCTATTTAAAAAAGATATTTGACTTGTAAACTTATCACTTGCAACAGGACAATGCATTGATGTTATGAGAAATCCAATTAGAATGATGCAGCATTGATAAACACTCTCTAATTGTCTCTCCCTCCTTGAATTGTCTCTTTGACATTTGTCACTCCCAATGAAGACGCGCTACAATAATAAACTATGTAATTTAATTGCCAAAAAAATCAGTTTTTTATTTCACTGAAGGCAAATTACATCTTGCCTTGATATTCTTCACATAACACAAACACTCTCTCCATATGATAGATAAGAAGAAGAACAACAACAAAAATCATCGCAAGACTATGCAAAAAGAAACATAAGTTTTTGACGGAATAACAATATCATTTTACAATTTTTATGCTGATAAAAAAGTTATTTACTTTAATTAACAGGTTTATCTATTTTTTAATACGATATTCGATACAATTTTAACACTTTTTATTGACGAGCAGAATTTACGACCGTTTGCATTTACTCTTATAATCACAACTGAAAGAAGAAGACATTTGAGGGAATTAATGAGTGTGACACAACTCTAAAAAAACATTCTCACTTTGACACTTGTCGCTCTCAATCAATATTTATTGAAAGAATACATGTCACAATTACGCGCCACCATGTAACTCCCACTAATAATAACAACAACAATGTAGTTGTTCACCTTGTCTTGATCTAACTCATATGAGCACTCTCAACACATGATAGAGAAAGAACAACAACAAAATCATTGCAATCTACATACAAGAGTATGCAAAAAGGAACATAATTTTCTTAAAGAATATCAATTACATACAATATTATTTAACACTTTTCACATTAAGAATTAATTAAATTATTATAAATAATTGTTTTCATTGAATTTTCAAGCGATATTCGAGACAATTTAAACACCTTTTAGTAACGATTACAATTCACGACCGTTTGTGGTTAGAAATCGAATGACAACTGCATGATGGTGACAAATAAGAGAACGCAACTGCTCTCACCTGATGGCAGAGATTGCCATTTCATTGCAAAACTATGCCAATAAAAGAAAACATATTTTTTAAGGAATCTCAATTGAAAACAATATTTTTTTAACTGTTTATATTAACAATTAATTAAATTATTATTATTCACAAATTTTTAAAGTTTAATCTGATATTGGCTTTAATTTAAACACTTTTTACTGACGATTACAATTCACGGTCGTTTGTGGTTAGAATACGAATGTCAACTGTATGAAGAGAGAGACTCTCTCAGCTGATGATAGATAAGGAACAACAACAAAACAATTGCAATTTCACTGCTAGGCTATGTCAACAAAAGAAAATATCACTTTTTTAGGGAATTATCAATAAAAATTATATTATTGAACTATATTTTATATTAACAGTTAATTGAATCATTATTATTTACAATTTTTTTAAGTTTAGCCGGATATTTGATTTAATTTGAGCACTTTTAATTGACGATTGCAATTCACGGCCATTTGTTTTACAAATACGAATGACAACTGCATGAATAATGATGACAATTAGGAGAGCCTCAGCTGATGGTAGAGAGAGAGAACAATAACAAAACATATTTTTAAGGAATATCAATTAAAAACACAATATTATTAAACTTGTTTATTAACAATTAATTAAATTATTATTATTTTCAATTTCTTTAAAGTTTAATAGAATATTCGTTGAAATATTAACACTTTTTAATTAACCATTACAATACACTACCGTTTGTTATTAGAAATCAAATGACAACTGAAGAATGGAGACATTTGAGAAAAACAATGTTGCCAACTCTAAGAAAATTACATGTGGATGATATTATTATTATTATTACATTATTATATTATTATATTATGTTACCACAATTAAAACTATTTTATAAGAAACAATACTTTATATTATATAACTAAATAATTATTTAAATTACATTATTAACTTTTCTAATTAGAATTTGAATGAGAACTAAATGAAGAATGAGGTATTTGAGAAAACCAGTGTTGTCAACGTTATAAAAAGTTATAATTGGCTGTTATTATTACTATAGCATGTAAATTCAATCAAAAAAGAAATATTAGTATACGAAATTAAATTATTATAATAAATATTTTTGATGTTCCTTACAAACATTAATAATTGTGATTAATAATTTGAAATTTAAAATTCGAGTAATGTAAAATTAAAATAAGTTTTTCCCAGTTCATAAATTTAATTGTTTTACAAACGCATAATTATTATATTTTTTCTTTTTTGAATTTTTTCAGCCACAAGTCCACCATTTTGGATAGCCGGTCATGACAATGCTGTTGATACACGCTATGAATGGGCAACAACCGGTGAAATATTTACTTTTACAAATTGGGGCACCGGTCAACCGGGTCGTTCGAATAATAATGAACATTGTATTTTGATATGGACAACATGGGATTGGCATGATTTACCATGTACCTCAAAATTGGGCTTTATATGTGAAGAAAATCGTCTGCTGAAGACAAAATCGAAAGACGAAGCCCAGGAAGAGTTGCGAGCATTGGCAAAAACATTTATATGGAAAAATTATAATGGAAATTGTAATTGATTAATTTTTTGGTATGAAAATAAAAATCTAACTTGAAAACAAATCTGACTAAACTAAACATAGATTTTTTAAATAGTTTTCGATTTTTTAAACAATATTTTTTTTACGATCTACACAACAGGTGATTTTTTTTTTGTTCTGTGTTGTTTTGTTCGACCTTTTGATTCTTATATAATAAAACAATATATTTTTTTCGAGCTTGAGGTCTTTTTTTTATTTATTTTTCACGATCAATATTTCGCAATTGTTTTAAATTGCATCTTCAGGATAATAAATAAACTAGTGTCAAGTTTACTTAAAACTATGATAGACTTCACTATCGTCGTCGGATGTAAATATTGCACTTTTTTTGTAAATATTGAATTTTTTAAATAATATTTTGTCAGGGATCCAAAAAAGGCGTGGATGTTTTAAAGAATATTTTTTCAGAGATCCAAACAAGGGGTGGATTTTTTCACGAATATTTTTTCAGGGATCCAAACAAGGGTGAATTTTTTAAAGAATATTTTTTTTAGGGATCCAAACAAGGCGTGGATATTAAAAAAAATATTTTTGGAAAAATTAAAATTAAAACAAATCCTCTATTTAATTATCATTTATTTTGATGTTAAATTTTTATAAATTTCAAAACTTGGTAGCGAATTTATAAATACAGCAATATTGTTAAATGTATTCGCGTTACATTCCTTCTTCAGAATTTCCATTTCCTTCGATTTCTCTTTAATGTGCCGATTTTCCTCACATATAAATCCCAATTTATGTCTGCAGGCTAAATCATACCATTGCCAGGTATTCTGCCAAATTAAAATGCAATGTTCATTGTTGCCAAGGCGATCTGGCTGACCCTGGCCCCAATTGGTAAAGGTGAAAATTTCACCCGTCGATGCCCATTCATAACGCAAATCGATGGCGTTATCATGACCACCAATCCAAAATGATGGACATCGAGCTGTAAAAATTATAAAAAATCTTTAAAGAGATCGCAGAAAAAAATTGTATTCAAAATAATTACCAAAGATCTTTTTAATCAGTGTATCGATCTGCAAATGTTTGTAGTGGGTGTCAATGGCAATAAGTGACATATTTTTGCGGGCACATTCATTCCAGGCTGCATACCAATTATACTAAGGGGGGAAAATTAGAATACTCGAAATAGTTTTTCTTTAATTCCATATATTTTACTCACCTTATTTTCCGTTTCAATAAAAAATCGGCTGCCATCTTCGCTGGTATGCCATTTTTCAACGGCTATACCGGAGGCCAAAGCAAAAATTACCAAACCAAAAATAAATGTGATCTTCATTGTAGTTACTTTTTTATTTTTGGATATTCGACTAAGGTATGCACGACCTTATATATAAATCCTTATCTAATGCAGTCACCACTAACCACAAACTAATTATCAACCAGTGAGCGGAGCAGTATAGTCGGACGGGGCCGACCATGCGATACCCTACACAACTACCACCAACTCTAACTTTCTGAGGATGTTTATTCCGAGTCTGAGTAATATTTCGATTAGAGGTTAACGACACCTCCTCCTTACTTTTTTCGAATATTCAGTACAGTCCTTCTAATTACTTGTCCATATTACCTTCACGGTGGGTTTTGTTGTGATTTTCGGATTATGGTCTACTCGAAAACACACAAAAAATTATGTTTTCGGTCCATTTCATCCCAAAATTTTAATCTGATCATCACCGAAAATTGTAGGCGTTGTTCTTGACCATAACTGGAACTTCATGAAAAATTTCAATGCCATCGGCGCGATATTTCTCCCTCTAATGTGGTAATGGGTTACTAAATAATATCTGAATACGTAAGCACTTGTAAATATTTGACTGTAACTCCCACATCTGAGTAGATACATCACTATATTTGGTATCAATTTAAAGGCCAACCACTCCTCTTGGATATGCTATCAAATCCTGGGGACTACATCCTCCAGGAGTAAATATATATGCCATAGAATACAAATTTTGTCATTTTTCACACAAAAGTCAGGGTCCATTTGACCCGCTAAATATTGACCGATCTTTATCAAAACATGCATGCTTATTCTCTGGCCCGATCCCCTTCCCTATGCAAAAATTCGAGGTGTTTGGGCCATAATTGCGGCCTCTGGAGCGACCAGAAAAACCGACAAAAATTTAGTATTTGGTCCATTTCATCCCCTAAATATTGTTACGTTCTTGGATTTTACTAAATCCCGTGTAGACGTTGTTTTATTTCCCGATACAATTCGTACCAAATAAAACGCGGGTTCTTTCTGATTACGATTATTACAATGAGTTTATTGACACACTTTACTTTGCACGTTACTTTACAGCTTTACGTTACTTGACGGTTTCAATTCGCGATCTGATTTACAACTGACTCACTGCCTTTCCATTCCCTCTATTTATATGAGCCCTGCCTGTCGCTACAGAAGTTTCTAGACGATCTGGTAACACCTAGATCACGAACAATCTACCAATGCAACAAACACATTGAGTAACAATAACAACAACAAACTTACTGAGTGAACAATAACAACAACAAACTTGAGTAAACAAACTTACAATAACAACAACACATATACAGGCGAGGGAATAACAAAGAAAGAGGAATAACAACAACACATATACAGGCGAGGGAATAACAAAGAAAGAGGAATAACAACAACACATATACAGGCGAGGGAATAACAAAGAAAGAGGAATGACGTTTAACAAGAATTGTACGACAATAACAAAATAGAAAATGAAAGAGGAAATGGAAGGATGTAGAAAAATCTATACAGTGGTTGTTGTTGTGAAGTTATTCAAATAAACTGCGTAGTAGAAATTTACGTTACAATTCAAATTCTTAAATTAACGGAATTCATCTAAATTAACTTAAATCTAAAGTTATATTCGTAACATTGCCCCCCGCTTAAGCCTGTTCGTCCCGAATAGGCACAGTTCCCGTTCCGTAGGGGGTCAGCCGCTCCAAATGTACAACTTTCATCTTCGACCTGGGACTGTCGCTCCTCTGGATGCGATAAACGACGTCATTTATTTTCGTGACAATCTTGTAGGGTCCTTCCCAGTGCGTTTGCAATTTGGGGCATAGTCCTTTCTTTCGTTGTGGGTTGAACAATAGTACCAGTTGCCCTTCTTGAAACCCATCGGTATTTGCCGCTCGATCGTACCTTGCCTTCATGCGGTTGCTAACCATTTTTATTCGATGTCGGACTGCATCGTGGACTTTACTAAAAGAGTTTTGGCTGTCTTCATCTTGGTTCACATCGTCGTTTGGGGTAGCGCCGAATATCAAATCGCCAGGTAGCTTTAATTCATTTCCGAACAGAACTTTGGCTGGGGTCCGGGATGTGGAATCATGAATGGCCGATCTATAAGCCAATAAAAACTTTGGAATATGCTCATCCCAGTCTCGTTGGCCACTGTCCACCACTTTCCGTAGATGTTCTTCAAGGGTGCGATTGAATCTTTCCACCATGCCATCTGATTGTGGATGTAGGGGCGTCGTTCTGGTTTTCTTAATTCCGTAGGAGTCACACATTTCCTTGAAGATCGCTGATTCAAAATTCCTACCTTGATCGGAATGAACCTCAGATGGAACACCATAGCGACAAATCCAATTTTTGCTGAACACATCCACAATTGTCCTGGCTTCTTGATTTGGGATAGCATAAACCTCCGGCCATTTACTGAAGTAATCCATGACCACTAAGACATACCGGTTCCCAGAGTCGCTTGTGGGGAACGGTCCAGCTACATCCATTGCGATTCTTTCAAAAGGGGCTCCTGAATTATACTGCTGCATGTAGCCTCGACTCTTCCGTGTTGGACCTTTAGCTTTTATGCAACTTTCACAATTGGCGATCCAGTCGGCAATGGATTTTTGACAGCCGACCCAGTAGAATCTCTGCTTTACCTTTTCAGCGGTCTTTGCTATGCCAAGATGCCCTCCACTTGGCCCATCGTGAAACTCCGACAAGACATCTCTTATTTTGGAGTCTGGGACGACGATCAAGTTCCGGTGAGATTTACCGTCCTCACTTTCCCATTTGCGATATAGGCAACCATCTTTTATAAGTAGACTGTCCCACTGGGCCCAATAGGATTTTAAAAGAGGGCTTTCGGAGGTAATTTCTTTGCGACTAGGTCGCTTGCCCGTTTCTATGGCCGAAATTATTTTGCCCAGAATGGGATCTCTTCGTTGTTCCGTCGACCAATCTTCACCCGACTCAAACTGCAAAAGTCGGACATCAACGATATTCTCTTTATTCTCAGCCTTTGAGCAGTGCCTGCATTCTACTTTGCATGGCCGACGAGACAGGGCATCAGCATTACCGTGTTTTCCGCCTTTTCTGTGCTCGATTCTGAAGTCATAACTCTGGAGCCTCTCAATCCAACGGGCTAGTTGACCTTCCGGATTCTTAAACTGCAGCAACCATTGGAGAGCAGCGTGGTCGGTCCTCAGCAGGAAATGCTGGCCATATAGGTATTTGTGGAAGTGTTTAACGCACTCAAGGACAGCAAGCAGCTCTCTCCTCGTCACACAGTAATTCCTCTCAGGTTTCGACAATGTCCGGCTGTAGTACCCGATGACTTTTTCCTGCCCGTCGATTTCCTGGGAAAGGACGCCACCGATGCCGCACGCACTTGCGTCTGTGTCCAGAACAAACTTGCCGCCAGGTATAGGGTATGCCAAAATGGGGGCTCTGCATAGCATGTCTTTGAGTTTTCTGAATGCCTCCTCCTGGTCGTTGCCCCACTGAAACCTCTGGCCGTTTTGCGTCAAGCGGTGTAGACAGGCGGCGATGTTGGCAAAATTTTGGACAAATCGACGGTAGTATGTGCAGAGACCCAGAAAGCTTCGCAGCTCATGGAGATTTCGGGGCTGCGGCCAATCTCTGACAGCTTGAATTTTCTCCTTATCCGTCGATATGCCCTCCGGCGTCACGTGATGCCCCAGGAACTTCACCTCTCGTTGGAAGAGACTGCACTTCTTTGGGTTCAGCTTGAGGCCTGAAGACGAAAGCTGCTGAAGAACATCCTTTAAATTCTTGATGTGTTCGTCGAAGTTGCGTCCCATGACTATGATGTCATCCAGATATATGAGGCACGACTTCCACTGCAGCCCTTTTAACACACGCTCCATCAGCCTTTCAAATGTAGCCGGGGCGTTGCAGAGTCCGAATGGCATGACATTGAACTGCCAGAGACCCCCATTAACGCCAAACGCTGTTTTCTCTTTATCTTTCTCGGCGATCTCTACTTGCCAGTACCCACTCTGCAGGTCGAGGGTGGAGAACCATGACGTCCCGGCTAATGTGTCCAATGTGTCGTCGATTCTTGGGAGCGGATAGCTGTCTTTCTTGGTGACATCATTCAACTTTCGGTAGTCCACACAAAATCGGGTGCTTCCGTCTTTCTTCTTGACCAATACCACTGGGGAGCACCATGGACTTGACGATGGTTCTATTACACCACTCTTTTCCATTTCACTTATTAGCTTCTGGACCTCGTCTCTTTTTGCTAGGGGAACACTTCTTGGAGGCTGCTTAATGGGTCTCGCGTCTGCTGTATGGATTTCATGCTTCACCACTGATGTTCTTCCCTGGTGCTCTTTTGTCAACGCAAAGGTAGAGGCATATTTCCATAATAGCTGCTTAGCCTTGTTCCTCTCGGAAGGTGATAATTGGTGTGTCCACTCTTTTATGTAGCCGTCGAGGTGCTTCTTCTCCATGGCTGCTGGCTTTTCGGTGCTAGTTTCCAAATTAATTACAGCTTCAGCTGGTGTGCATTGTCCAACATCGGAAAATTGGAAAATTTGCTCTTGCTTGTTTGACAGGTTCAAAACTCTAACAGGAATCAATCCGTCCTCGTTGCTTTTCACCAGGGCATTCGCTATTAGGATGTTACTGTATCTGTTTTCTGCTGGTTCCACCACCCACAACTTCTCGGCTCCACAATCTCCATTCATTGGTACCCATATTATTGCTTCGGCACAGGGCGGTATTATCTCTGGATGGTCCGTAGTCAGACGCCTGATGTATGTACTTTCATCGTAGCCCACGTTTAACGGAATTTCGACGTTAGACCAGGTCATCACACGCTCTTTCATATCCAGATTGATACCGAAGGCAATCATAAAATCTGCGCCTATTATCACTTCGTCTACGATATCGGCAACTATAAACTCGTAATTCACCGATTTATTGGCAATAGTTAGTCTCAGGGTAATCTTGCCGTGTACTGCCGCGGGCTCCCCCGTTGCTGTGCGCAGTCTGACTCCATTAAGTTGCGTTATTTT